TACTCAGTAACCAGTTCTGACCTAAAGTTATTAGGATATCTTTGGAAGTAGTAGTTATGTTCAAAACAACTAACTGCATAAAAATCAATTTGAGGGCAGGATCAATTCTGACCGCTGACTGTAACAAGAAAACAGTGGCCACAGAACTTAGAAGTACAAGGTTTCCTCTTCCAATTTATTAGTACAAATCATACCATCACACATAAAATTTGGCCAGGAGAGGAAACTGTTGTTGTTGTTTTTTTTGAAAAAAAAAATGTGTATTTATAATTTTTAAAGAAAAGCATAGCACAAACAGATGGAGGTGTATGACAGAATCAGATCTATTTGTCTTGATTTACTGTTTTGTTGCTTCTTTGTTCTGAAATGTAAGGAAGATAATGTCCCCAGTGAAAAGGACAAGATCATTTATTATGGAGCATAATAAACGCAGCTATCTCTTCCAAACTAAAGCAAAGCAGTCCATCCAACCCTGACCCCTTCACCAGAAGTATCTGGTCAGAGGAACTGAACAAACTGTTCCTTTTTTATTTTAAGTATAATGTTAGTGAATCTAAGTAAAATGATTGTTAAGAATCCTAAAACTCAAAAACAAACTCCAAGTCTAATTCTTTGGGAATGCTTGTATAAATAAAAGCAACATCTAATTAACAATTAGATCACTCTTTGTAAGGTGCAAGACAAGGTCCTATGTAGGGAAAGCTAACATTCAATTTCCACCTGGCAGTCACTGAATACTTTATAGGTCAAATGTAACAGCATTTGCTTCTACTGCCCAGTTTCGCCAATACACCCTGTTCTCTCTGGAGAAGGCGGCTTGTGAAGTCAAAACACTGCAGTGGAAAATAGTGGCACTGAAGGTAGAAGCAGAACAAGACAAACCTTCAAAACAGAGGACTTAACTGAAATTAACTTGTAAAGCCGAGGTAGCCCATTAGACTTGGCCTTATCTGAGGGCCCTGTGGAGCAGTGCAGTCAGAGGACAATCTCCTCCCCGGTATCGCATACGCCCCCAAGTTCCCCTGACAAGCGAGGACTCGGGGCCTCGTGTGTCTTCCTCCCTCTCCCAGGGAAGAGGGCGCTTCTCCCAGTGTGTGGGCGCCGGCCTCCAGCCTCCAGCTGCTGGTCTCCAGAACACTTAGGGTTCATACAGTAGTTTACAGGCAGCATGGTCCCACTGCTTCACATTAATGCCAAACGCCAAACTGGGAACAGAGCTATTGGGTATTGCCCCTCCCGCCCCCACACCCACCCCCTACGCACACATACTGCAGAAACAAAAGATGTCCTTCAGTGTCAGCTTCCTTCTGGTTCTGAATCAATTTAAATTTGCTTTAGCTTTTACATAGGTGCAAATACTGTCATACGATGAGCCAAAGACTGCGGAGTGCGAACAAAACTGTGGGTAACTTAGAACAGAGTGGCACCTGCCTTGGTAAGAACGTGACAGATTAGACATCCTGGGCCCAAGCATCCAGGCCAGTTCAGATGCTCCCCCCGTGACCATAGTGCCGTCACCGCTTCCCTCCAGCAGTTCCAGTGGCAGGAACTCGAGTATCAGTGATGACGTGGGAATGTCAGCATGTCGGCTATGAGATGGCATCGGTAGAACGCTCATCTGATAAGAGTTCAATAAATACATTTCTGATAGAAGTCTGTCAGGACTACAACAGTATGATTTAGCCTTTAAAGGAGTTTTTAGTGAATTAACACTTTGGATCTAAAAATCTGGGAACTAACCTCATTTGGGGGTAAGAACCTGTATCTTCAACATGGCGGTGGGACACTTTTCCTGATCTCATTACAGCATCCAAACAAATGCAAACTTAAAAGGGTGTCTTACAGTATTTTTTTCTCTCACTCAGCTTCTTAGAGCTGTAGCTTCAGTTACTATAATATACTCTACACACTTCAAAGTTACATAGGAAATACCCAGAGTAACTAAATAAATAAAAGGCAAAAGGAAACTGGAACAGTATTGTCTCAAACAGAGACCACACTGTCCCCTTCCAGCATTACAGAGGAGGGCTAGGACAATTTTTTTCAAAATATTTATATACAGGTTTGAATCCAGAAATTAAGGTTAAAAGTATAAATACTGATAATTTCAACTAAATTCAGAATGGTTTCAAGAAAGATATGATACAACGATTTAGAATAAAACAGAGCAGAAGAGCATCATATTTTGGTTTGCTTGAGATATACATAAGGTGCAACAACTTCTTCTCTTGAGGATGCTTGTGGGACAAATGTTAGTGTGGATGGTGTTTGCTGGCAGATTAAGATACACACTATAGCAATACGATTTTCTGAAATGAAGAAGAATGAGAGAAATGAAGTGAAAATGGTAAGTGGGGTGGGGACTACATGTTGGTCTGAAATATTTGTGCTAACAAATGTTGTTACCTGAATATATCAACACCCCTTCTCCAGTGGATTCAGGGCATGAGAAAAGCACTAGTATTGAAATCAAGATTTGCATTCAGAGAAACAACAAGGCGAGTATCTAAAGAACTATAAAGCTTTGCAGGATTTCTGCTACTTTCAGTGCCTAACTGCTTAAAATTTAAGCATTTCTACAAAAAGGTGTTTTTGTTTGTGTTTTTTTTTTTTTTTTTTAAAGTATCTGAAAACAGTCATATCCAGTAGTTTGCCCTCCCGCTCCCACCCTGCCTAAGGGAAAAGCCACTGAGGTTTAGGAAAAGCAGATCAAGTAAGATAGTAATCACATAGAAAAAAAAATCTTTTGTTTTGCTTCTTTTTAAAAAAAAGGTCCCATGAATATACAGCAATTTCTTGAGGAACGCTAGTGAAATGTAACCGGAGGACTGAAGGAGGGTGCTTCTGGCAAAAATAGACCTATTCTAACATGTTCTATAGAATAACAAGTTAGTACCATTGTCAAGGTGCATGTTCTGCACCACACAATTTTTGTTGTTGGTTTGTTTGGGTTTATTTTTTGGATTTTAGCTAATAATAATTTTAAAATCACTGCTAGCAAGTGGTCCAAAAAACTCCTAACAGCCACCAACACTGGGACCCAGCAATTTCCAAACATTCAATTTGTGTTTTGAGATTTAGAAAACATTAATAAAACAGCATCATAGTAAAAAGGCTATGCTGAAATCTGGGGCTGCTCACCTGACTTATTTCTACGTGACTGGGATTAAGCTATAACTGCTGATTAATCTTGTTTACTAATTCCTTCTTCCTCCATACATGCACAATGAGTATGTATCTTTAGAATATCACACCAATGCTCTATTGCCCTTTTCCTGCTTTGAAACAAACCCTCTCTAGAGTCTTCAATTCTGTTAGTATGTTGTACATATTTTCCAGCACCGAAACTGAAGTAATATCTACAACTGTGAAAAGCTAAACCTAATCAGTATTAATAGAGTCACTTTTTATATGGCTATTAGGTCAAATTACGATTAGAAAAAAATCATCATTACAATTCAGTCAAGTATAAATAAGAAAGCTAGATAAAACCTGTAAACTGTCACCATTTAGAGATCTAATTCAAAAGCTCCAAACCTGAACAAACACTATCAAAATCCCGCCAGTTTGAAAACCAATAAAAATTATTGCTGGAATCCAATCATTGAAATTTGGTAGTTTGTGCTGCGATGCAATAGTGGGGAGATACTTTGTGCTATGGAAGAAATACCCTGTAAAATCTGTAGCCTCTGACTAATTTTGATTTATCACTTTGCATCTGTTGCTAGGAAACAAGACACTGTGAACATCAGGTGGTTAAGTCAATATGTTGAATATTCTAAGCCAGTTAATCCATTCGGCACTGGCATATGTATGATGGGTTTTATGTTCAAAAGCAACAAAACACAGAAAGGAAACAGAAACTTGTAGGTGGGTCAGTGACTGAGTCCCACTCCAATCAGGCATACCTCCTTAACAACACAAATTCAAAATGGCTCTATACACCTGTAGCGCCGACAAGGCTGTGCATAGCAATTGCTACCCGTCCAGTCTGTCTGGGATGGATGGAAAGGTCTGTGGGCTCCAGGTCCACATGACGTGAGTGTCTTCAATGTGTTCAGAATAGTGAAGTAATACTAAGGTCACTTCTGAATAATATTTTTCTTTTTTTTTTTGTCTGTTTGTATGAACAATCCATTGGTCACTTAGACCCCTGTGTAAAAATAAAAGAATCCTCAAGGCATGAAAACATCAGTAACCTGTAATCTGTAGTACTCTTCCCCTGTCCAGGTAAATATTTGCCACAATTTGCCCCAAGCAAATTATTCTTGGTCACTCAAGGCTAAGAAAAAAATTCAGCTTAAGAATTGTAATTTCTCTCTCTCTCTTTTTTTTTGCCAGCAAATTACCGCTCTGGTGGCAAATATAAAAGTGCAGAATATATGGACCACGAGGCCGAGCATACACCGCTAACAATGGTACATCTGCCTGCCCATGCTGCGTGGGAGTCTTGGAACAGGCTTTTTTACTATTATTCTACAATATAAATGTAGGTATAACCTATTATATAAACCATCTTAGAACTTAAATCTCCATGTACAAAAAAGACTAAGAATATCTAATAATAACTAGTGCAGTGCGTCAGTTTTGTTTTTGTTGTTTTTTTGTTTTTGTTTTGAAAGAATAACTAGGTAATATATGAAACTAGTTTCACACTCTCTGGTTGGTAAAAGAGATGCTGGATGAGCTAAAGTAAAGGCAGTCTTTTACCAAGTTACCACCTGTTACCGTCAACAGCCTTCAATAGAAAGCAAAGCTCCAGGATCATTCCATTTCTGCTCATTATCAGACCGAGAACATCGCCCACAAAGACTCTGGGTTCCGGACGAACAAATGGGCCCAGGAGGCTGACTTTTGCTTCGAGTGAATCTGGGCCATGTAGGGCAACAAGCACTTGTTTGCAGTCTGTATTTCCCACCACGTGAACTCACTAGCATCCCTTGGTAAAGACAAGGCTAGGGTAGTAGGTAAAGCACAATGTTTTACAATTGAAGGGCGCTTCACTGGTCAGCGCAGGAAATAAGTACAGGAGCCTGTGGCATTTCTTTTGGCTGTCCATCGTGGGTGAGGGGAGTTGACCTCTGACCTCTGTGAAGCAAGGGAGAAAAAAAAAAACACTTATTCAGATTATGTTATCAGAAATAGGAGAGGATAAATAACATAGTGCTTCCCGATACTTTGTTTAATAGCTTCTGCTGACTTTTTACTTACGTTGTCTACTGAAAACCAATTTTGTCCTTAGAGTTTTTTTCTTCACATATATTGTTGTTGTTTTTTTAAAGGATTTCTCACACAACTCAAGAAAACATTCTGTACCCAACTGACCACCTCCATTTTGTAGAAGCTGAAGCAACAACAGATTTGGCAAATTCCCTCAGAACTTTATTTAAGTCAAGGGCTGACACACTGGACAATAATCTTCCCCTGGAGCCACTGAAATAAAAAAAAATGACAGGTTCCTTTCCTTGCCTTGCCTGAGGGGAACACTCTGCTACACTTATTGATAACCTCCAGGTTCACTTCTTAAGTGGCATAATAATAAACCCAATTTAAACTTAGGGCCAATAACAGCAATGGTCTTTGGAGAGAGAGAGGTGTACTAGGACACAAAAAATATGTGAAAACACTGAAATTCCTAATGTAAAAGAAGTTATATAGGCATATGGACAAAGAGCGCAGAGGGGAAAAGGCGAGTACTGATTAAATTTTAAGAGTGTGAGAAAATCCACTTAATTTGAGCCAAACTCAACACACATGGAGAGAAAATTCTAGGCAAGACTAGAAAAATTCATGGAAAATCCCATTACTTGGATTGGAATTACAATGAACATAGCTGATGTTTTCCCCCCATTCCGCTTCAGCTTAACAAATAGAACAAAATATGTTTTATTTCACAGTTATAACAAAATTGTTCTAAATTCTTGGTGACTTATGCAGAGCTTCTCAGTCTAACAAGATAGTCTTGGGCACCTCTTTGACATTGTCCAACAGGCCGATCACGCCTGCATGTTGCATCCCACCGCTCTGGCCCATTGTGGTCTGCAGGGCACATAGCACTGTGCTGAGGAATTCCATATAGCAACAATGTCTTCACTGGTTTTAAGGTTTCAATATAGTATTTTCTTCAGATTACGTGGAACAAAGGGTGCTGTTTTAAAATTTAAATTTTAGTTGCTCCACAACTATATCCAATTCTTTTTTCTTGGTGCACAGAAAAAAAAAAGTAATGTGGATAAATGACAACATTTGGGTATATCAGAATCCAATGATCACTTAGCCTAAGATATTAGGCTTTCAGAAAAACAAAACGTGTGTTACAATCACACTTCTGGATTAATTTGTTTATTCATGTAGGGATGCTGTAAGCACCAACTGTTCAATATGTTCAACTCTGCTCCAGAAAGATGAAATTAAAATGCTACTTTTTACCTGTAAGATTAAATATGTAATAATATTATAAAACCAAAAGAATTTTAACAAGTAGGAGAAGAGGAAACAAACAAACAAAAAAAAGTAAAGTTAAAAATGAGCCGAAGCCAGTTTGGCTCAGTGGTAGAGCATCGGTCTGCGGACTGAAAGGTCCCAGGTTCGATTCCGGTCAGGGACATGTACGTTGGTTGCGGGCACATCCCCGGTAGGGGGTGTGCAAAAGGCAGCTGGTCGATGTTTCTCTCTCCCTTCCTCTCTGTAAAAAAAATCAATAAGATTTATTAAAAAAATAAAATAAAAAATGAAAAGGACAATGTAAAAAGAGAGCAAAGGGGGAGAAACTGTGGTGAAAGTACAACGTAATCAATGGGGAAGAAAGATGGGAGTGTGATGGGAGAGAACGATGTGGGTGCAATGACCTGATGGCCCTCGTTCCCAGGGGAAGGAAGGGTCGGGGAGCCTTCTTGACCAGCCAGGACATGAGAGATGCTAAAGCAGCACCGTGGAGCCACGGCAAGGACACTGGATTTAAGGACCTGGGCTCAAATCTTAACTCAGTTTGGCTGCGTGCTCCTGGCAAGTTAACCCGGCATTTAGGCCAACATTATAATGGGACTAGAAAGACCCACCTGGAAGGGCAGATTTTAGGGTTAAGATTAATGAATTTTCCTCCTTATAAAATTCCTTGTAAACACAAAAGGTTTATGAAACTTCCTGTGTCCGGCATTTTGTGGAACTGCCTTTCTACCCTGGATTTTTAAACCTAATGTTAAGATTTCTTGTGGCAAGAATGCAGGTAGCAGCAGATGATGTATTTCTACCCCTAACGTTGTTGACCACTCTCTAAGTGCCTACGCAATAATGAACTGATGTGCAAACAGGTACAATCACATTACGTCTGTAGGTAGAGGGCAGATAGTAGCTCTGCTTTAACATGTAGAGACTGAAGTTACAACTAAGATTCCTGGGGAGAATCTGTCTTTCTAGACAATGAGAACACTAACCATTTGTTAAACTGACAGTAAAATTTTAGTAAGCAATATCGTTCTTCTAGTGGGAGGTAAAAAAAAAAACAAAAAAGCCCCATAAACTCACTCGCCCATTCATCCATTGATGTGACAGGAACTAAGGAAGCTGTGGATATGGAAAATAAAACCAGAGCTTTTTTTTTTTTTCTTTCTTTCTTCAAAATACAATGGAAGGAGTCAGAAGTATGGGCAAATAGTTACAAACCGACATGATGGCGGGTCCATGAGGGTTGCATGGGGAGAGTGCAGGCTGCAGTAGCAGTGAGAGAAGAGGACAAAGAACGAGGCCTGGAAGGAGCAGAGGCAAGAGAGGGCTTGGCCCCCGTGGGCTGCCAGCGGTGCCCTCTGACTTCGGGTGGGTAAGAAGGAATGGTTTGCTGAGGTGCTTGCTGCTGGAAAATGGGAGTTGTGGAAGGCTGGTTGACAGCCATGGTGTGACCGAAGTGCTGTTCAGAAGGGAACATTCAGCAGCAGGGAGGACTGTGCGGTAGCCTTTTCTGAGCCCTGAAATATGACCACCCCCTGATTCTTATATTACCTCTTATTTCCACAATTTATGTGGGCACATATTTAGTCCTTTGTGTAAGTGTACGAGTTTGTCCTCTGTACTCGACTGCGAAACTCCACGAGTGGAGAGTCTGTATATTTTTCTCCCTCGGGCCCGCAGAGACCTAAGCGGATTTTAACGACGTCTGTCAGCATTCACGTGCTGCGAGGCACTTGCAGTGCACACATGAAAAGAAATGTGACCTGTGGTAAATATCCAGAGGCTATTTGTGAGGCAAGACTAGAAATGCAACGTGACAGATAAAGAGAAAGCGGCAAACAAAGCTTCCGCCTGGACTCCTAAGCCTGGTGTGATAAGGAGAATGGAGCCTGCCAGGTGGGCACACAAGTCGTCCGTGACTCCAAGATCTTTGTACTGAAGATCGAAAGGTTAGGAAAGTAGCTCATCATCTTGTAGGTAATCCACTCCGAATAAAACCATGAGATCCCTGAATTCACAGAAGTCTTTTCTGCCATCCCAAAAGACCCATGAAGTAGTGGAACACTCCATTTTGCACTTAGAAGTTGATATGCTTTCTGCAGGCTTTCCTGAGTTCCACCAGTTTCCACATCTAGGATCCTGGCTGATGCTTACAACCAGGTGACTCTTTGGGGATAGTGCTGTGTTCAAAGCAGGATGAGAAAACTGAGGCCCCGAGAATGAGATGACTTTGTAGCAAACACGGAGTGGGAGAAGAATCCAGGCCTTCTGTCTGCTGTGAGTCAGGTGACTTTTTCCTGAACCAACTCTGTTTTCTTCTGCTGGTACCACCACAGCCACTGGCCCTCCTCAGTGAGGGTGTGCGCAGCCTGCTGGCACTGGGACGTTAGACTTTTTCCACATAACATGTCTACGGAATGAGTACCAGCGACACCCGTTTTATAGGACACACGACAAGGTAGAGAGGCGAATGACCTTGCTTGAGACCTGGCAATTTGCAGGTGACAGAGCTCGGACTCAAACCCAGGCCTGAGGCCTGACTCCAAATCTCATGCTTAATGATTGGAGAATGCTGCTTCTTTGCTCTTTCAGGCTTTTTAGAGAAATAAAAGTTTAGCCACAGAATAATGCATTTAAAATAAAATACTTGGCTGGCTATATTCCCACTGGTAATGAGCACACACACTTTTGTAACCTCACATAAACAGAAGTGCTCTTGAACCAAGTCTCATTAACCCCAATACACTGTGAAAACATCACAGACGACATCAGAAAGGCTGCTTCCTCCACCTACGCTCTGTGCAGGCGTGACAGTGAACAGGTAGGTCCCCAGGACCCTGGCCGAGGAAGGCTCCCACCCGCTCACCTGTGCACGTTTTCCATGGCGGCCACTTCAGCCAGCGCAGCCAGACTGAAAAACGCAGACACGGCGGGCATCTCGGGGGTGCTGCTTCGTGTCTCCAGGGCCTCGCTGCTGTGTGCGCACGCGTCATGGCAGCCTGACTCAGGGACTTTAGGGAAACCCCTCTGCAGTTCCTTTGGTTTGTCATCTGCAACGCAAGAGAAACCCATCAGGAGAGGGCCCCTCTGTTTTCTGCAGAGAAAACTCTGTGCTGGGCAGTGTGAAATGAGGCAACGTTCTTCTCTGCTCACTTTTGTTACCCACTGAATAGTGAGGCTTTTATAGGATCTCTTTCATGGTCACAAAACTCTGTAATTAAGCTCAACTGCAGCAATGGACAACTATGTCCTGATGCCGAGCAGAAAAGCTGTGCATTATTCAAGGTCAAATAGGTCAGTGTTGGAGATAGAAAAATGGGCTTATCAATATACAGCGCAAGGGACTTCGGTGGAGGGGCTGGTGGACACAGTGAAGGGCCCTTAAAACCCCGACTGACCAAACGTTTCTGATGAAGCAGCAGCTGCCCTACCTGCCAGGGCAACCCGGATACTCAGTGTGCTATGACAACAACACTCAGGGTGGCAACACTAACCCCAATAAAATTTCAACCCCAATGAGACCCCAGGCTGTCACTTTTGTTCTGAAGACCTACTGGAAGGAAGATAAAGGGCCAACGTGCCTGTTGGGAGTGAGTATCCTCTCCTTCCTGTGTAGCCAAGACAGAGGGCAGGTGTTATCATGGCTTTAAAAACATTTCAACTACAGAAAATAATTGGTAAAGGCAGTAAATGCCATACAGTAAGTGAACATGTAAGTGCTATGTGCTTTCCTACGTGAAAGAAAGTATTTCCTAAAATCTTTCCCTCTTCCTACAGGTGAAAATGAGGCTGCAACCATTTACAAAATGAAAATCACAGAGCAGAACCCACAGTGGAAAGTAAATGAGGGAGGGGCCTGCTGGGCTACATATGAGGAAAACTGGGCGCTAGTTTTCATCATACTTCTGCTTCGTAGTTCAAAGCACTCAAAACAAAAGTGTGCCCCTTGGAGCTTCACCTCTTATGTGACAGGGAAAACTTAGGGATCTTTAATATGCTCTCTTGCTCTACCAATCTACAAATGCAAAGCAAGAGAAATGCATACAATTCACTAATAGTCCTCTAATTCTCTCTCAGCAAACGGTGAATCTCTATTAACAAGTAGATTATTTTAAATCAGATATTTATAAATCTTATTCTCAAAAAACACTCATTTAAACATTTCCCCCCTTATTTATTGAATTCATTATGCACCTTGAGCCTTTTCCTGGCTACTGGACTAGGGTGGCGGAGAGGGGCCCTTCCATTGGGACTGACAGAAAGAGATGAGAGAGGTGCTAAAAGGCATGGCAACAGCTCAGAGCACTAATGCTGAGGTGGGCATAGCACCCCAAGATCTGAGGGAGGATGCTCAGTGTCCAGCTCTGATCCCATCAGGTAATTCTTCTGCCATGGAGACCACCAGGAACAACAAACAGAGCCCAGACCACAAGCGAAAATGGAGAAATTCACTAAGTTAAGAGTTGGTTAAAGATTAGCCCAGAGAACTAGAGTAATCCAGAAGCATGCTCCAGCTCTCTGGGTGGGCTTAGTCAGCAAGTACTGGATGCTTCCCAAAGTGCCTTCTCTCACTGGCTTGAGCAGTGAGCCATGGAGAAACAATGATTCATCCAGGATTTTTAAAAGCCTGGGATCTTTGGGAATTTACCTGGCCAATACTATTTCTGTGCATGCTGAGAAAGGGACGGAGAAGCTGACAGCCCTAAAAATTACTTCTCCTTTCTAGTAAATCAAAATAGGCTCTTGGAAAAAGAGCTATGACTTTAAAGCATGGACTAAAACATGCACCTTTGGGAGTCTGTAGAAAACTAGTTCTCAAGGAGACGTGGAAAGAGAAAATGTCACTGTGACCGAACCCGCAGTTGGCGTATCGTCACTTGCTGGCCCAAGTGGCCATGAGGGTCAGCTGTTTGCCTTGGTTATCTCTGTCTGAAGCTCCCTCTTCTTACCCAAAGTGCCTCCTGCTGGTGACACCCGGCCATCTGCTGTCCTGACCAGGTGTGTGATCTTGGTTTTCCTTGCTTTTCTCTTTTGGCTGCCCACCAGGGGTTCTTGCGTTGCTGTTGGCTCTGGAGTGTTGGGAATGGATGGGGCATTTTTAACCTTATGAGCAGGCTCTGTGGTGTTTTTGTCTTCTGTAAATATGGCTGAAATAGGACAAACCATATACAGTTACACACAAAAACACTAGGCACCGACATTGCTCTTAGAAGGAAACATTCTCAATGTCTGACCCTTCTGAATGGGGAACTTACATTTAGAGTTTTCAAAGTATTAATGGGGGGGAAAAAGTAAAAAAAAAAAAAAATCCCATAATCTTAAACACATATATCTATTTGCTTTGGTAGATTAAGTACAGAAGATTAAGATGCACCCTCCTACTCCCTCAATAGAATATTGAACACCAAGAGGCCATTGTGTCTCAACTGAACACAATTTCTGCAGGTGTCAGGATCCCCATCTGAGATCCTTTTGGCCTACTGGTCTGAAGAGGATGATAAATTTCTCTTCTTCTGAGGATACTAAGCTAAATATGTGCTTCTTAAAGCTATACTTATCCCTGGGATATTCGTTTTCAATCACCAAGTTGGACTAATCAGAAAAAGAAGCTGTGAGGCCTGACCTCTTGGTTGATTTCTTGGCCAGGACCCCACAAACACTGCTGAAGCCAGCACGGACTGAGACTCTCCTATTGGCTAAACTCCAGGGTCAGGTGACTGTGCTTAGTGAGACAATTTCATGAAGTACCATATCTCAGCAGGGCTCCTTGGAAAGTTTAGTTCTAGGTCCCTAATTCTGACTGGATTATCAGTAAATTGTTTAATAGCACACATTTGTGTCCCAAATAGCACAGTCAAGAGCAAGGAATATATTTGCCACCAAACACTTGCTCCTGATTCAAACAGTTTGGGAATGCTGTGTCCTTTCTTATATACTTGTTTCCTTAGGAGCTCATTCATCTCCCTCTCCCCTTTATTGCAAAATAAGACAAATATGTAGATAGGAGTATAGTGAGCATTTAGGAGTACATACATGTAGTCACGTTTCATGACTGGGACTTTTTTTATTCCAGTGGTTGAAGGTCTCTTGGGCAGGGAAGAGATACATCTTTTCCTTTTTTAATGATCCAACCTCTTAAGACAGGCATAGAAATGGTTTTTGACAAAGAAGAGGGGAAGGTGGCTCAGGAAATCAAGGTTTGACATGAGAAATATGCAAACTAAACCTGGAGTATAACTGAAGGTGCTTATCAGAGGAGGGTGTGAAGGTAGACATTGGAAATAAGACAATATATGTAATGTAGGTAGAAGAAAATAGCTGAAATAAGAAAAGAACAGAGTGAAAATAAGGATATAAAACAATTCACTGTTCATATGAATACTTGCATAAGCTTCATTCAACAATTTCAATTTAGCTTTCTAATGGATTTAGTTAGACACATCCTTGAGAAAGGAGGGTTATGAATTTATAAGCTCTTTGACCTCAAAATGTTGATTCCAAGTTTCCCATTCCAAAACTCAGAAATAATTTAAATTACATCAAAAGAAAGCATGTAAAGCATAAATCATAATTTAGGCTTGACCTCACCTCAGTATTACATAATAGATGGCTGTTTGGGGACAGGCTTAAGATAATCATTATTTTAAAAAATAAACTCCACTATTTGGCAATGTTCCCAAATACCTTTTCAAGCAAATAACATAAAAATAGAAGAGAAAAAAAGACTCCTTTTAAGTTGTAGATCTATCTCCAGGTCAAACAGTCTTAGCATATTTATACTTTGATATTTAGCATAACACAGGCCAATCATGGTATATATTTAATTTTTGTTTTCAGTTTGAACTTTGATAAAAGCAAATAAAAGATAATTTGGTTAGAAACACTCCAATGATGTTTAATGATTCTGCATTAGCCCTGAAATTCAAAGCCTCCTCTAGGTTAAAGAAACCCAAATTTAAGTTCACAGTGAGGATTAAATAACCTCCACTGGATATTCATAAGCAACAAAATTTATGGTTTTGTATGCAGACCCATCAGTTGTCCCTCTGATTACAGGGTGGATCTTACCTCTTCAGTACGATCACTACATTATTAATGCACCTTCCAGAAAAAGCATTTACCTCTTCTCTTCCTATTCCCATAAAAATTCAAAACTTGTGCAAATAAGATAATAGAAAGTTCCAAAGAGGAAGGGTATACGATATTAAAAGATTGCTCATTGTAAGGAAGGGAGAGAGGGAGAGAGAGAGAGAGAGAACACCAAGGAAGTCAAAGAGAAAGCATGGGTACCTAAAAAAGGGCCAAGGGCCGAATGTGTTGGGAAAGATGATCGGGTTTTTACAGAAAGATGGTGGGGTGATAGAGGTAACTCAGTATAGAGAAAGCTGGATTCTACTAATGACTCTCAAATTCACTAACTGTAAAGATGGAGACTGGACTCAATGAGCTCTAAGGGAGCCCCCCCAACCCCCAAAATTCTTTTTATTTTGCTACATAGCCTAGAATCAGGGTCCTGATCAGAGAAAAACGCATGTGCAGCTTGCTCCATAGGCTCAGAGCTAGGAAAAAGCCTCCCCTTGATAAAGTGTATGACTGTCTAACCACTATGCTGTACACCTGAAACTAATAAAAAATAATAATGAATGCAAATTGTAATTGGAAAAAAAAATAATAAAGAGTAATCCCTTGACTAGGATTGTTAGATTTTCTTGGTAGTGAGCCTTCAAAAGGTTTCATTTCTATTCAAAGTTTATTCCTTTTGTTGTGTCCCAGATGAACTGGTAAAAACACGATAAAAAGCCAAAGGAAGGCTGCAAAGGGACTGCAAATGGGAGGTGCAGTTCAGGCCTAAAAGTGCATCGGCTCTATGGGACGCTCAGAAACCAGCATACAAGAAGCCAGGGGTCAAAGGCCAGCCGGCTAACAGAGACCAACAATCCTCAAGTCCCAGAGATTATGTACTGGGAGATGGTAAAGGAGTGCACCAGGTTGCAGACTAAGGCAAAAAAGAAAATGTATTGCAAGTTTTCATAAATCCCTGAAAAAGAGGCAATCCCAACTCTCCAGGTGTCTTCTCTAATCCCCGTCAAATCTGGAAGTAACTGTGGGCCCTGCAGACAGGTGTGTAGCCTTTCCCGGTTGGCTCAGTCAATAAGAGTGTTGGCCTGAAGACTAAAGGGTCCTGGGTTCGATTCTGGTTGAGAGCACATACCTTGGTTGGCTTCTCCTTGGTTGGAAGCAACCAATCAATGTGTTTCTCTCACTTCAATATGTCTCTCTGTTTTTCCCTCTCTCTTACATTCTCTCCTAAAAATCAATGGGGAAATATCCTCAGGTGAGGATTAACAACAACAAAATAAAACAATAAAATAAAAGTAAAATAAAAAGGGTGTGTAATGTGATGCTGCTAGAGTTTGGAAGAGGAGTTAAGAGTCCTACCCCATGCATTGACCAAGGAGGTAACCAACCCAGAACATCTTGTGTGGTGGCCTACATAGATGACAGCCAGTCTTCAGGTCAGCACTCAGGGAGAACTCTCCCAGGGCAGAATTGGGAAAGCAGGTGAGACTAAGTCAAAGAAGTAGCTGTCTGGGACAGGACAGTAGACCTGAGTCCAGCAGCACTGGCACACACAGGCTAGGTGGTAAGGGACAGGAAATAGAAAAAGCTCAGGGAGGAAAAAAGCCTGCAGTTGAGTATCAAGACAGCATGCCAGCTCCCTTTCTTTCTCCCTGACAAACTAGCAGAAACGTGAGAAAAGAATGGCTTGTTGTCTAAAACCAAATTAAGTCATTCCTCTTTCGGCTTGGAATTGGGCACACAAACCTACCCAAGCACTGCAAAACACGTCCACAGGGCTAGTTTTTCACTCCAGGATCATCCTAACACACTTGGCACGGATCATCTGAGAGTGATAATGTGAGCTCACTCCTGGAGCAGCATTAGGAATTGGCAGTAACAGACTCCTGTTTTTCGCACTCTGCTCCCAAAATGTGGAGATCATTTTTTGCACTGTACCCCAGGAGACCACTGAAGTGCTCTAGAGACATGAATTCACATTCCAACTAAGGGGAATCCAACTTGCACTGAAATTATTATAGCCAAATCTGGAATCTCATTGCCTTTGGTTGGTCTCCTGTGAACTGAAAACGCAGTGGGACACTGAGTGAACACAGGAAAAATAACCAAATGAATGAACTTAATCTAAGGTCCTGGGAGACCTTGCTGAAGTGCAGTAGCAATTATTTTGAACTGAGGAGATCAAGTTAGCCTGAGTGCTATGGCTCCTGTTCGGAAATCTAACTATAAAACAAAATTTTATCCCCCACAATTAGGTGTATTGCAAAAGAAACTAATCTTACAGAGATTCCTAGTCTGAGATTTTTGGTTTTCTTTTCTTATAAGGTACCATTTGTAACTTAACATCTGAGCCAAATGAGGACCATCTATAGATATGCCTGGAAAACAGCCAGTGTGGGAAGATTATTGGTTTCTTCCTTCCCTTCCTGCTTCTGTTGGTCAGGCTTCATGTATTTGGAACTAATAAGCCCTTCTTACTTAACCGAGGCTGATGTGAAGATTAGTTTTTGGGGGAAAAAAGAAGAAGAAAAAAGTAAAAGTCCTCTGGGAACTATAATGAATATTAAATATTACTTGCTTCCGAATAAGCATGACACCTTAACTTGGTGGAAAGATAAAGTGACAGAGACAGGTTGTCTTGGTTTATCTGAAAAATTTGCCTTTAATTCTAGGCTATAAGCAATCTTTTTTTTTTTTTTTTTTTTAATGATCTACAAAAGCTTTAAAAAAATGGTTTAGTGATTTTGAATTTTAAAAGCATGGGTGCAAATGTTTAAACCAGATTATAAGCTTAGCACTTAAACCTCAGATATGACTAATCACCTAAAGATTTCTGATTTTAAAAGAAGGTTTTATTAATTTCAGAAAAAAAGAGAGAGGGAGATATATAAACATCAGTGATGACAGACAATCATTGATCAGCTGCCTCCTGCACACCCCCTACTGGGGATTGAGCTGGCACCTTGGGCATGTGCTCTGACAGGCAACTGAACAGTGACCAAATGGTTCATAGATCAATACTCAACCACCGAGCTACAATTGCCAGGTGATTTCTGATATTTTGGGGGGAAAAATACAAATTGTAAAATAATTATACTTGAGATGATATAAAGAAAACATAATGAACTTTAAGTCCTCCACTTTAACAGCAATTAGAAACAGTTAACAGTTGTAGCTTTAGTTGAGTCAACATATCTATGATAGATATCAATTACAAACAACTCCTGTCTAACCTTTGCCTAGGGTGGTTTACATATACTACAATTATTCTGATTATGGTTTCATTTTGTTATATTTTTACACTCTCAAAAGTAAAGTTTTAATAAGCAGTGATAGCCACAAGTGAGAGAGAGCATGAAAAGCTGAGATAATTCACAAAGTACACTGTTTACCACCCAAACAAGTAAATGTAGGAGATGGTATGAAAATAAGTAACCAGAAAAGAAAAGGTCACTTTAAATTACTGTAATTTCCAAAGCTCAAACCTATTCCTTTTTCTCTGGTCATGTAAAATGAATTTGCACTCTACACTACAGGGCATACAATTTTTAGTGCATGTTCTCTAAAGTTTTGTTCCACATACATTAATAATAAGTATAATTAAATATCACCGATAGTAACTCTATTTCCAACTAAACCCATGGGACTGCCTACAAGACTCAAAATTGATTTACTTTTCTGTTCCTGAAATGGCAGAAAATTAAGGCTTCCAAATTAACCTATTTTCAGGATATCACATAATAAAATCATTAAGTGTTAGAGGGGAAATAGAATTTATGTATTACCACACCTCACCATTTACCCAGCCCTAATACATGAGTCACATTCACACTTAGCACCTACACAGACAGTGAGACCCAGTGAGGCTAAACAATCTGTTCTACTGAAACAAGCTCTCTGGTGGTGAATCTGAGACTAGCACCCAGGTCTCCGAATTCCTACCTAATTCATGCTTTCTACCTAATTCATGTTATGATAACCCACTTTATAGGAGGTAGGGTTTTCATTGTAAAAACACAAAATATTTAGAGCAGTATCACTAAAAAAATGTATTGCCGTTTTTCTTAAATAATTCTTTTAGATTCCTTATCAGTGCCTTACACTTATTTATCAAATCTGTGTAGAATCTATTTTTAATACAGAAGAGCTAAAATATATCAACTTTGGGATGTCGGAATTTAATACTGAGAGCAGCACAACAATTCAGATTTTGTTTTTCCAGCTTAAGTTGCAGAAATGAAACTCCATAGAGGTTGTGATGTGAAGTGACAGGTCAGAAAACATACATGCTGCTTGCATTTTCTGTAAAAGTAAATGGTGTAAAAGCAGTCATGTGGCTCATATAACCGGTACCAACCAAACAAAAAAAATTCCATGTTTACAATAAACTCATATTTATAAATACCTTTAAAACATATTTTTGATAAATGATTTAGGCTAAATGAGCATTTTAATTTTTTTCTTATTTTTAGAAAAGAAATGAGAGTATATTTGGGATTCCAGAGACATGGGCTACTCATCACTAAGTTCCCTTTTCCAGCCATAAATAAATCAAATAGGTTGAACAGGATGATCTCTAAAATTCCTTCTAGTTTTCAAATGAATCGACTAATTAAGCACTATGAAAACGGTCAGCTCTTTAAAATTATTTACAGTGGAAAAAGGGAATCAATGGGAAAAAGAGGAGGGTGGCTCCTTAACCATCACAGAAATGAGCCTTCACCTGAGGGTTCAATATTTAATAGAAATCAGATAATATCACAAGTAAATATAATTGTGAGAAATTCTGAAATAAAATCTACACCTAGACCTGTAACATTATATGGTCTTATATGGGCCCCCTTTTTGGATTATACATAGGCCTAAGAGACAATCCATCCTATATAATAAAGAGGTAATATGCAAATTGACTGTCACTCTAACACACAAGACGACCGCCCCATGTGGTCAAAAATGGCCACCACAAGATGGCCGGGAGGGGAAGGCAGTTGGGAGGGGCTAGGTCTGAAAGGGAGGCAGGTGGGGGTGACCAGGCCTGCAGGGGAGGACAGTTAGGTGTGACCAGGCTGGCAGAGGAGGACAGTTGGGGGTGACCAGGCCTGTAGGGGAGGGCAGTTAAGGGGGACCAGGCTGGCAGGACAGGGCAGTTGGGGCAATTGGGCCAGCAGGGGAGCAGTTAGGCATTGATCAGGCTGGCAGGGGAGTGGTTAGGGGGTGATCAGGCAGACAGGCGAGCAGTTGGGAGTCAGCCGTCCTGGATTGTTTAGAGGGATGTATGACTGCCCGTGAGGGGTCTCAAATTGGAGAGGGTGCAAGCTGGCCTGAGGTGTATACATACATACACACACACATACACACACACACACACACACACACACACACACACACACACACCTGTGCATGAATTTCATGCACTAGGCCTATTAGTCTATTTATATAAATATTAATAGTCTAAATGACCTTAACATCTGGAATGACCAGTTGCTATGATGTGCACTGACCACTAGGGGGCAGGCACTCAATGCAGGAACTGTCCCCTGGTAGTCAATGCACTCCCACAGCCAACCTCCCCTCCCCTGGTAAACTTCCCGCTATCCCTGCCCCATCCAGCAGGCCCCATCTGGCAGGCCCTGTCCAGCACCCGGCAAGCCCCCTGGCCCTGGCTGGCCCTGCCCCAATTGGGACTGAGCAAGATGGCCCTGATAGCCGGCCAGGCCTAGGACCCCACCTGTACATGAATTTCATGCACCGGGCCTCTAGTTTAAACATATTTACAGGTACTGGGAGGTTGACTAGAAATCATTTCTGCAGGCTGGTCCATGCCCAGCCACCAGAACAGTTCCATGCTAGCAAGGCCTGTTCTTATTCCCATCAACATCTGCCTGCAACATGACTGCAAAGCTAAGTATTTTTATTTATAAAAAATCTCATTAATGAGGCTCAAAGGTTATAAATCTCCTTTTGGCAAATTAAACTCCATATGACAGATTGCCTGACCCTGAGCAGGGTCAAAATATACAGGTTTGATTTGAAAATTTAAAATAACCCAATTATGAATACTGAAGTCTAATGCTGTTGGTGGAGCCCATATAAATTATACTTTTAAAACCTATTAAAATTGTGCCTTTACCAGCACAGATGACCTGAAATGATATAATGAACATTGCTTTTTTTTTTTACCTTCTGTAGGGTGAATGGCATCCAAGAAGAATTGCTTGTTTGACCATTTATCCCCACTTCCTAAAAACAATGACAGAAAAGGAAAGTGAAACTCTGCTCTCAGTATAGATATATATACACTATAAAAATAAGATAATATACAAAACAATTTAAATAAAAAGCATTATCACACAAATGAAGCAGAATTTAATTTCAACTATTCTCAACTAAAATAATCAGGCTATACAGAGATGGATTAAATAAAAATAAACAAATTTACCTTTTATGAAATACATTGTTGATAAATTCTATGACTTATTCAAGAAAATCTGAAGACCAGTTAAGAGGAATGATACAAGCTCACATTTTACCTAAAGAGTGATCTTTCTCCACTAGAAACAGAGAGAAAACAAAAACAAAAACACCAACACATACCAAACAAAACTACGCGGCTGGAGGTGAAAATAAAGCCCAAATTAAATAAAAGGCTGCATACAGGAACACACAGGCACAGGTGTCTGCACATGGAAGACAGCTGCATCTGAAGCCTCCCCAGCAACAGGAAAAGGCTTCACATCTGGCCATGCAAGGAGAGCAAATGGGCACCGGATGAGCAGGCCCATGGTAGACAGGACACTAGCATGCGGGGAAGATGCTAAAGGAGCCTGGCTCCCAGGACACGTGGCTGCATTGAACGAAATGGAGAAATTTATCTTTCCCATGAAAGAGAAGTGGGAGTCCTGAATTGTGAGAAGAAAAAAAACAATAATCTTCAGATGAGCCCTAACGAGACTCAAAGGCCCATCAAGATTGCAACACTGACACCTAGGTTCAGAGTAAAGAAGGGTAGAGTGCAATCCATCTCTAGTGCCCTCTGGAAATAAAAGTTATGGAACTGAAGGAGGTAGAAAGAAAATGATGAAGTACACAGTTGGAGGGGAAGTGGAAAGAAGAGGTTATGTCTTAGGAGTGAAATCCTCCTCAACAAGAATCCACAAGTGTCAGAGAAAATAGAGAAATCATGGGACTTTCACACGATTATGAAACTGGTGCGGTTTCAGGAGGAAAATGTGGTCCTGGGATGAAGGCTGCTGAACACGAGAAAAATAGAGAATAGTCAAAGAAAATAAGTGGATAAGAGCTCAAGAAAACTAAATTACAAAATGCATCAAATATAGATGAGAAAAAGCAATTTTAGCTTTCATATGAAACTCTGAAAATAGAGACAAATATGGATTTGAGTAGAAATCCAAGAAAAGGCGCTCTCTTTGCAATTAGCTGCAGGATCTAGAGATAATGAATATGCCTGCATCAGGAGCTGATGACAGTGAAGCAAGCCAAGGGGAGACCAAGGCGAAGCCAGTGCGCGAAGCATTGCTCAAAGATGAATTCGCAATGGAGGTGGCCAAGACACCTTAATGGAGGATGGAAGGCACCAATACCTTTTTCTGGAACATTAGGCTTCTCCTTTTTGTGCTTATATTTGCTGACAATTTTGTGGAATAAGTTCTTTTTCTGAGACTGGAAAGAACCTATAGACAATATTAATATAAATATATTTTAAATTCACAAGGTTCCATAAAACAATACCGTGTGTTTCTAAATAATTACATCCTCCTCCCACATGTGAAATAAGCAAATTGAGTCTAAGAAATGTCACCTTCAGTTGTTACTCACTTAACTAGTGTTCAGCCTCCTAAAATAGGAGGCTGAGCACTATAAAACCCAGTGAGGTTTTCCTTCAAATGTATTGGGCAGAAGCCTCCATTAGGGCTAAGACTCTCTCAGCAGAAATTGAGAGATTTAGTGACTAGAGACAGGCCACAACTAAAAACAGCAGAGTAGCTGCCATCAGTAACAAAGGAAAGATTTTACTTTCAATTCCCAAATATCACGCAGAAAAGGACTACACGGGCATTCATCTCTCCTAAGAAACTGTTTTTCACAAGCACAACACTTTCAGGACAAAGGTTGGCCTGATAGCATTACATAACTTTCTAGCCTCTTCTGAGGATATTCTAGGAAGAAAGTAAATTATTTGAAAACAGAAAAATATTTCCCAAAAATATTTTTTCTGGTGCAGAGAGAAGCCTCAGATGGTCTCTTAGTTTTCTCATAGAAAAAATAGAAGGCCATTTTTTAATCACCTTTCAGAAATACCAACAAGAACACTGACCTGCCCAAAGTGGGTTATTTCTTTTTTCTTTTTTTTTCCTTTTTAATATTCCTTTATTAACTCCTTTTTAAAAAAATAAATTTTATTGATTTTTTTTTACAGAAAGGAAGGGAGAGAGATAGAGAGCTAGAAACGTTGATGAGAGAGAAACATCGAATAGCTGCCTCTTGCACACCCCCTACTGGGGATGTGCCCGCAACCAACATACATGCCCCTGACCGGAATCGAACCCAGGACTCTTAAGTCCGCAAGCCTATGCTCTATCCACTGAGCCAAGCCAGTTTCGGCTCAAAGTAGGTTATTTCTATATTCCGATCTTCCTATTGTGAAATTGACTTCATCATTTAAATAAGTCTGCATCCTCATCTTCAAATGGGAATAATAATAGTGTCTAATTTACAGGCTTGATATGAAGATTAAAAAAGTTTGGAAGCTCTATAAACTGCCCCTCTGCAGTACCTATCCACCTAATGGCATCTGCAACCACATGCTCTGCCTTACTGAGGTAAACTAGGCTCCTGCCTTAAATGTACAATTCAGTGGTTTTTTTTATATTCAGAGCTATGTGCAATCATCATCATTTTGGAATATTTTTACCACCTCAAAAATAAATCCCGTATCCTTTAGTTATCACCTCTCCCTATAACTCATTCCCCCTATCCCTAAGCAATCCCTAATGTACTCTCTCTCTATATATATGAACATTCATAAACAAGCTTGTGTGTAAATGTTTGTGTTCCTTTCTTTTGGACATAAACCTAGGAGTGGAGCTGCTAGGTTATAGTGTAACTGTCTGTTTAACCTTCTGAGGAACTGTCAGACTGTCTCACAGTCTCATTAACACTTATTACACTCCAATAACACTTGTCTTTTCCATTATTAAATCCATTTCGAGGATGTGGAGTGGTATCTCACTTGTGGTTTTGATTCGAATTTTCATGGCAACTAATGACATCAAGCATTTTTTCATGCGCTTATTGGCCATGTGTATATCTTCTATAGGAAAACAGCTATACAGCTTGACCATTTTTAAATTAACTGTCTTCTTGAGTTGTGTGCATTTTTCATATGCTCTGTGGAATGTTTTCTCACTTTCTTACTAGTATCCTTTGAGGCACAAATTCTAAATGTTGATACAACCAAATTACCTATTTTGTCTTTTGCTGCTTGAGTTTTTTTGGTATCATAGCAAAGGATCCATTGCCAAATCTGAGGTCACGAACACTGATCCCTACGTTTCCTTTGAAAAGATTTATAGATTTAGTTCATATTTTAGGTCTTAGATCCATTTTGAATTAATTTTTATATACTGTGTGAAGTGAATAAGGACCCAATTTCATTCTTTGGAATGTGAATATCTAGTTGACCCAACACTATTGTTTGAAAAGACTATTCTTTTTCCATTGAACAGTCATGGCATCATAGTAGAAAATCTGTTGAGCAATGACAGGTTTATTTCTAGACCCTCAATTCTATTCCATTGACCTATATGTCTATTTTTCTTTTTTATAGCCAGTTGTGAAATTGAGAAGATTGCCCTGGTTATTCTGAATCCTTTGAAATTCCAAATTAACTTTAGGATCACTTGGAAGTATCTACAAAAGAAGTAAGCTAGGATTCTAAGAGGGATTGGGCTAAATCTGTAGATCAGTTTGAGAGAGTGTTTCCATTTTAACAATATTAAGTCTTCTGATCCATGAACTTGGGATGTTCTTCCGTTTGATCATCTTTCTTTACACAGTGTTTTGTAGCTTTCAATATGTTGCATGTCTAAGTACTGTATTATTTTTTATACTATTGTAAATGGAATTGTTTTCCCTAAATTCTCTTTGGGATTGTTCAAGTGAATAAAGATACACCTGGTTTCTGTCTAATAATCTTGTATCCCATAACGCTGCTGAACTCATTTATTAGTGGAATCCTTAAGTTTTCTAGTGGAGCCCTTAAGTTTTCTAAATAAAAGATTATATCATCTGCAAACAGAGGTAGTTTTATTTCTTCCTTTCCATAATCTGGACACCTTTATTCTTTTTCTTTCCTAATTGTCTTGGCTAGAACTTTTACTACTTCCTATAGGTTTAGTTTGTTCTTCCTTTTTATAGTGTCTCAAGGAAGATTAAGTTATTTATTTAAAATCTTTCTTGATATATGCATTTATAGTTATGAACTTATTTCTAAGCATTACTTTAACAGTATCCCATAAGTTTTGATATATTGCTTTCCTTTTTATTCATGTCAAAGTTTCTGATTTTCCTATTAACTTCTTAGTTTCTTCTTTGGTTATTAACTTATTGGTTATTTAGAATGTTCATTTCCACATATTTATGAGTTTCCACATTTTTTTCTTGCTGTTAAATTTTAATTCCATTCCACTATGGTCAGAAGGCATGATGTGAATTATTTTAATAAAAAATGTATTTGTTTTATGGCCTAATATATACTGAATTCTACAGGCATTCCATGTGTACTTGAGAAGAATGTATATTCTGCTATTGTTGGTGAAGTGTTCTATATACACAGAGAGGACTGGCATATAGAATTATTTTCCTTCCTTTTGATCATTTTCCTAGTTGTTCTATCAAACCTATTCTTCTTTATATAGCACTTCTAACCTTCTAATACGTCATATACTTTGCTTATTGTTTAGGCTCATTTATTGCCTGATAACCCCACCATCATGTAACATCCATGGCAGGATGGTCCTTTGTTCTCTATCACAAATATATTCTACAGATATATTCCTAGAATGGCGCTTAGCTCACAACTCATTCTCAGTAATATTTGTTACATCAATGAATAAATAAAGCTCTTAAGCCACTGCTTGGCCCAAAGTAAGAATTGAAGACGTGACAGTTGTTGCTGTTATTACTCATAACAGGTAGTTGTGCGGGTATTTTTAGATGAC